AATCTGCCGGAAAATCTCCATAAGTCATAATAACATATGCAGATGAACTCTTAACTTAGTCTGATGCTATGTTTAAATTATACAGCTAGCTGGAGGCTGACAGCAGCCATCCTATTTTACATGGAGCCAACAGGGGTGAGTCTAAAGGGGGGCATGGGGTGGACTAGACCATATTTATTTCAAGGTTTTCACAAGTTTTTCAGATTTGAAAGTGAAACAATATAAAATACTGTCTCGATTAAATTACACTCATACCTAAAAATATAAAATTAAAGCTTTTTTCACAAGCCCATAAAAATATACATGCCCCAGTAAAACTCTGAGGGTTATTAGGTTGGACACTGAATTAATGTTAGTATTAATTACCATCTACACCATCATAACAGTTTGTCCTGAAACAAACTTCAGAATGCTGATAGGCTCGCTTCTCTTCATTGCAGCCTCCACATTCTCCTCTAGAGGCTTACAGACACAAACTCACTCATTCACTGCGCACTTTAACACAGAAACATGTACAAGAACTCATAAAGCCTTCAAGACAGAGTAAAGATTCATTTTTATGCCTTAGTTTAGATTGCATATTTATTTTTGTTTTTACTCTGAATGTTTGTATATTTTTGTACTAAAGAGAACGTTTTCTTTAAATAATAAAATTTAATATGGCACATAAATACACAGGGTTTGTTTGTTGTTGTTGTTTTACAAATGAAACAGATGATAGATGAAACAAAAAAACATTGCAATTCCTAAAATGGAAACCAGTGAGCAGTTCATTTATTAAGACCTGCGTTTTTTTTTCTTTTGAATAGTTATTATTGCTCAAGAGACAGAAGCATTTCTTATCTGGTTAATCGATTGAATAATCGATAGATCACTTGATTACTAAAATAATCAATGATAAAATGCAGAGTGGTGTTTAAATATTAAATATGTAGTGAGAGAACAAGATGAGTCAAGAAGAAACACTCAGTGCATTATGGGAATCGCCCAACAGCCCAAACCTACTGCGGTATAACCTTGAGTTATACCGCAGTAGTATACTGTGTAGTAGTATACTGTGCTCGTCCCTGTTAGTTGTGCACGTTTTCCTTACACTTTTAACTAATATACAGTCAACATTCTCACAAATGACCTTTTGTTTTTTACCCCATTTGTTGATAATTGTCATCAGGACAACTGTCAAGTCAGCCATCCTCCTCAGGATTGTGGTTGAATGTACTGAACTAGACCTCATTAGAAAACAATAGTAAATAACCAAATGCTGAGTCATTTTGGTGTATTTTCAAGAAACTGGTCCTTCTGCTGAATATGATCTGCAGACAGGTGTGTGAAAGCAACACACGCATTATTACGGACAAATGCAGTTTTTGGACTTTACCAATTGTACATTGGTGACCAAGAAAGAAGCTCCTGCTCCAAAATCGACACGTCCAAGCTTGACTGAAATTTGCAGCTCATATTTGAGGTGTTCTTCTTTGTATTAATATTTAAGTAAAAGTGAATATATATGAGCCTCTGTGGGTCCTACGGTCTATACAAGTGTTTCTGAGATAGCAGTCCTCATTCGTCGTTCCAGTTGTTTGTTCAGTGTGACAGAATATGAAAACATTGGAAGACGTGCATCAACAGAAAGCCTGTATATATGTGACATTGCTTATTCTAAAGGTAGCCATATCAACGCCTACTCACACTGCTACTATATTGTAGGGATGTACAGTACTTCCAAAGATCGGACAGCAATCCTGACTTGGGACAAATACTCATTAAACTGTTAGCAGTCGGACGTACCGCCCACGGGACATTGGATGGTTTAGGGGACTAATAGGACTGCTAAGGGGTTAAAGATGATTTACAGAGCAAAATATTTTTATACTTTTATGCCTTGATGAAAGCTTTGCTCAAGAGTTGGGAGTTCGCCTTGTAATCGGAAGATTGCCGGTTCGAGCCCCGGCTTGGACAGTCTCGGTCGTTGTGTCCTTGGGCAAGACACTTCACCCGTTGCCTACTGGTGGTGGTCAGAGGGCCCGGTGG